GAATTAGGGTTTCTGTTCACTTAAATCCCAATCGTCTCATTGAATTTGGTAATCCATTTTGATGAAGTATAAAATATAAAAACAACTTCTGCTCGATAAATGAACGGACGTTATATTACATACGACATATTGACGGTGTCAAAATAAAATAAATTAACGATTCGCGCGGATGGGATTGGAAATATGTATACATTTACATATTGGCGGATGGCTCGGGTGCATAACAGCCAACGCGAGTAACTCCGGTAAATTAGCATTTCCTAGACGCTTTCTAGGTCCGCCCGAATGTCTCGTCTGGCGCGACGAAAATTGTGCAACCGCGATCTCTCCGCGAGAGTGAAATTACACGGTACCATTGTGGAGTGTCGTAATACGATCGAAATGATTGCTCAACAAATCGCCGTTTCAGCGTGATTCTATAACCGTGCCGCGGAAAGAAGTCGCCAATTTCTTTAGTTCAGCTCCGCTCGTTCCCTCTCGAATATATTTCTCTCGGTTAGCTACCAGAAAACGTAACCCGGTTCACGAGATACTTGATCCCTTCCGTACTCCTCATTTTGTTTCCACATACTTCTTTTGCTATAGTTTTTCTTTCCTTCTTCTTCAATCTCTATTCTTTTAAATACCTAACTAAAGAGGCTGAAGCGAAAATGTATTGTCAGTCACAGATGACTTACAGGGCACTTAACGTGTTAAACATATTCTTCATCTTATAAGATACTTATTCTATTGTAACATCCTCCATTTCCTTCATTAGAGAGGCTGAGGCTTTTGACCCGTTTTGACCCGTGGCTTCCTTTGACACTTTTTATCTCCATACGCGTAGAATACAATGAAAATTTGGGATCTCTATATTCTGCGACGTACCCAATTTCTTTTATTTTTCTCAATCAACATTTATATACTAATCGTAAGTGCTCCGGGTCTTCCGTCTGGAAGCCACGCACACATGACGGGAGCAACTGTAGAATGAAATGAAAGTTTCTATGTATGTTTCAGTAGCCAGGGTACGAAGATGACTAATTACGAGGACAGCAGAAGGCTACGGACAGATGGTTCGAAGAAGCCGAGGATCGTGTCCGTTGTAGGAAATGACCATGACGAGCGTGGCTATCGCCCCGGGTAGCCTCGGCACACCTCCATCCATGCTCACCCCGAAAATGTATCATCTGCAGCAGGGGTTAAATTCAACGTCGCCCTCGCCTACTCCTGGAAAAGTAAGTCACAATATGACCATTTTAGTACCTATAAATATCACCCTTAATGCTTGCTTTCTTTCTTTTCTTCTTTATGGATTTCTAAAATCCATTATTCGTTACATTAAATATCGATCATCATTCCTCAATTTATTATTAATTATTAACATCGAGGTTTAATTCGATTAAATCATTTTTGCATAACAATGGAATTTGCTATAATAACAATAATTACGTACAACGCATTGAGAGAGGAGACGCGTCCTACATTTGGTAACGAGATGTGTGTGTATGTATCTATAATCAGCTAAGGATTTATTAGCTGAGAACGGGACTGAGGTCGTGTACATATATTCTGATAAAAACCATATAGAGAAAGTTCGCACAAGCCGCCTTGATAATTGTAATTCGTGACTGGGCACTTGCTTATGTAACGTTACAGCACACGTGTGTGTGTGTGTGTGTGTGCGTGCGTCTGTATCTCGACTTGTGTGTCATTCGATTTCCCTTTGTATCGTTAGTTATAATAAAAAATCGTTAGTATTAATAAAAATTCGCTGTGACTTGGAAATATACGTGGAACAATTTTGTGAACGAAGAAAAATTGTTCGGTTCAAATATTGAACATAGTTTCTTTTATGTTTTTCTTAAACTTATGGCAGAGATCTTACGGCTCGTACGACCTTAAACAGAAATTGCAAAATAAGTTCAGGTTTGTTACAAAACGAATCCGTATCGAGAACATTGAAACGCGACACGTCACAGCAAGGACAAAACCAGCTCTTCCGATGATGTAACAGCGCTCGCGTATGATTTCGTTGGTGTACGACTCGTTCACAAAGGATGGCTCCGGTTTTACCTTAAAACCTGACCTCGCCGACGACACCGAATACCCCGTTGGTCGTCGGTTCGCCGCATCTTCCGCACGGAGTGGACCATTTCTCAGTCCTGTTCACCAGCGAAACGTCGAATAAAATGACTGTGAACGTGATTCGATATTAGTTACCTCAAATATCGGGTTCGATTTCGCGTTTCCTCCTACGTTCTCATGGTTGCAAGACGTGATATAGTAAACGTCCCAATTTCTATTGAAAATTAATTTAACTTCTTCAGGGACGTTGCAATTAAAATTAATTAAAATTAAATTGATTCCAAGTAAACGTAAATAGAAAGCAGCATAAATGGAAGAAAACGAAATAATTAAATCGATTTTCTTTTAGTTTAAAAAATTCATCCTTGAAGAAGAAGCTAAAAATGATAGTTGACAAAATGATAGAAAAAAAAGACAGTGAGTAGAAGATTGCAATGTGAATTGAAATTGGGATATTTTACATTTACTGTATGACTGGACTCGTGGTGTATAATTAAATGTGAAACAATTGATTATCAGTTGCCTGATGTGTTACCCTACAAAAATAAGAGTTTTATCTTCAAGTCTGGACCTCATGGGATTCGTATCGTGATGCTGTAAGCGTTCGTATATCAAAGTTTTATGTGACCACTGTGACCATTAGTGTATTAGAAATACTATAATACATGAGACACTATCGTCTTTCAGTGTAATAACTTTTTAATCGACACACAATAATTGTACGTTGCACTGTTACGATGGTAAAAATGAGTAAATAAGTGAAGTGAAAGTACGTCGCGGTCGGGTCTGAACAAATGATTTTTGCGAACAAGTGAAACAGCTTTACTTTTGCGGTTGAAGTAACACTGAAATATGCCAGATACGAATCTGTTTTACTGATACCTCTTCCCGATACGACCATTAGACTCTTTCGTTTCTTTATTAATCTACTTTCACCTTGGATATATTATTAACAATAGTGAAGTTAAATATTAATTATATAAGCAAACGAAATCATTAGAGCTTCGTTAAGTAATAAACAAGAATATATTTCTATAATAATAAAACGTCTCTCCTCTTTGATTATCATTTCTTTCTAAAAGTTTATTACTTCAAATGTTGTACACAGCTTTTTATATTACATATCTTAAATTATACAACTTTAAGAACAGTGCCACTACACGTCGATGTACATACATACCAGCAGTGCAAAGGTGCATTCACACACACACACACACACACACACACACACACATGGGTTACTGTGAGATTGAAGATTCGATTCTCACAGGGATGAATGAAGATGAGTGAAAGATCAGTGATAAGAAGAAAATATTTAATTGTAAACGAGTTTTTTTCCAGGGCCAAAAGGCTGAAGTATAAAACGTATTCTAGCCTATGTAGAAGAATTTATAATAATTAGATTAGTTAGATTAATTAGAACAATTAGAATAATGGTATAGAATATGTAATAATATGGAATATTGTAGAGTGTGTAATTAAGATATTTAATACATTATCGTGTTCATTTATCACTGGGTATCACTACATCCGTGTTAGAATTCATCAAGGCATACGGAATACTTGCTTTACTTCCTTGCTTCGGGTTATCATGCTTTCTAAACCCATTCGCATTTTCTTATAGGTAACTAAAGATCTACGCTCCTTCCGTTATTTCGATCTCTTTCAATTATTCTTTATAAATATTAAATATCATTGGATGAACAAAATTGAATTTGAAAACAATATAAATGTGCAAAATTGAAAAGCATACAAATATAAATTCGAAGCAATATACTTTTTGAAAACAATATAAATGTACATAAATTTTGAAAATAATATAAATGAGCAGAATTGAAAAGTATGTAAATATAAATCGAAACAATATAAATGAATATAAATTTTGAAAACAATCTAAATGATCGTAAATGAGGACGATATAAATGAGGAAAAGTGATTTGGGAAAGATTTGGTATACGCAATCGAAGACAGGTGAATATGGGCGTTATGTCCCGATTAAATCTCGTATATACGTAAGCGACACGGGTGCACGCGCATGCACCGGGGTCACGGCGGATGCACCATAGATGCATCATACTACTCGCCGGGCTCTCTATGGTAACCAGAGGCTACGATCCACACTTTACTACGGTTACACAATCCTCGCCGACTGCATTCAGACGATACCGCAATTCGCGAAGCGAAACCGCGATTGCGATCCTCCCCCTCGGTTCTTACGTACCGGATGCTCAGCCTCATCTTTTCATAATTCTATCCGCCAATGTTTTCACTGATTGACACGAAACGCAGATAACGATCGGTGCACGCGATCCCTTCGATGATACATTCAACCGAACTCGTTGCGTTACGTCAATCGCTATATTTCCCGAGGTTCAGTTCTTCAGATTTCCAATCATTTTCCAATGACTCGACCCTCAGGGCAGTATCTAGGCTCCGGTAACAGTGCGATAAGACGGAGTGTCAATGTTACCCACGAAATTAGCCAAAAATATGAGAACACTGTTCGTCTTTATACAAAAAGTTTTTAAGTCGTGAGGGACTTCTTTAGAAAGAGGGAAGTTAAATCTGGCTCTTTAGGTCACTTCCTGGAGGGTCACTAGCCTAGCCCCTTGGGCCAGTCGATAGTGAGTACTCGATGTTTGTAAGTCCTCATCTTTCTGCTTTTCAAGTAAGCAATTAACAATTCCCGCAGTTATGACGCGGTAACGCAGTTATGATGCGGCTTTCTGTGGTTATATTTATCATACATTCTTGTTTAGCATCATAATGTCAAGTAAACTGTAATTTATTCCGAGATCAGGAAATCCGTGTCTGAATGCGGAAAAAGCACACACTTCTGGGACGCAATCTCGAAAGTTCTATCGTAGCATAGCAATGTGGGCCAAACGCAAAACCGGTTGCATATACATACGTACGTTTATGCATACACGCCAATTACTACCGCGCTGGTAGCTGACCGAGCGCAGGAAGACAGCATATTGTATATGAACAAATTGTTTTACTCCACTACATAGTGAAGACATAAATAAAAAGATTATTTAATAACGTTCTTTAGTTTAAATTAAGACTATCTTATAATTATTTAATAAATTTCAAATAATGTCAAAGAACATATTGAAGAAGTATTATTTATTAATTATCTTTTCGAAACTCGTGAGTACTCATTCCGAGGTCCGATGTTAATTTCTGTAAAGTGAATACTATTCATTGATTGACATTGAAACGTAATTGAAATCGAAACCCATGAGATGAAACTTGGAAACTGACTCGGTTTCGTGAGTATATGTATATTGAACTTTCCCTAGTAAGGATCTAATAGTCAATGTTTAACAACCATTTTGGAGAACATTGGAAGATAGCCGTGTAGTCTTCAAACAATATACGTTAGTTTAATGCTCTAGATAAAACGATACTTCCTGTTTACACCGTTCCCTGATTTCTGCTGTTTGGTACGTGAGTCTGAAAGTGAATACACCGCTTCGGCCGTTGTATAATTAAAATTCACAGCCGTGCTAGCTAGCGTCGGTGAATTACTCCGATAACGGTGCAATAAGGCAAAATGTGAACATGTCAATCCCTAGATTATTAAAACAATAAAACAGATTAGAAAAGTCACGTGACTACCCTAGCCTCTTAAGTTCTTTGAGATCTTAAATGCAAAGAAGATGCAGAATAAAGTTGATTTTAAGCAGATAAACGAAAGACTCCTTAGGACTTTATTACAATTAGACTTTATTACAAAAGAAAAGAAATTAAGTCAATTGCCTATCTTCGTGAAAGATAATTTATTTTTCTGGGATCCCATAGTTCACATGTATGCAGATCTGTGATAATTAGACTGTGAATTTTTGTGCAATTGTTCAAAATTTGCATATAAAGAAATGTGCCTGTTTTATATAATCCACAAAAATACATAAAATAATTGAGGCAAATCTCACATTATGAAACTGTAAAAGTGAAACATTATTACAAATGGATTAGATTCTTTAAAGTATGTTTCAGGAAATACAATTTTGCATAAAAATTCAGAGTCTTGTGATAATGTCGTTGTAATGTTGGTCCCTGTCATAGAATTGATTCATTCGACGTTAATTTTAATCGCGAAGGCTTGTAATAGCTCGTGTACTTTTTGCTCGAGAAAATGAACGATGATTTTCACCGATCAAACGTGTTAAGTAGTGCATAAGACGCTCCTCGACGTAAGAATGTTACTTTTCTGATCTCACACGCTCCGCAATTTCTAATTTATTGGAATGTCTCAATGATAAAAGAGGCCATCGTTTAAAACGCATTCTTGAAATTGATACCATAAATATTTTGCATTGCATAAAAAGCCTCGGTCTAATCATGGTTCATTTCGACGATTAAATAATTCAATTGTAATCGAGGTTTTCGTGCTTAGAAATTTCTCGAAAGCGGAGTTAACGAAACGTGAAACGAGTAAAAGTGCGGCATGAATTAGAAATAAACGTTGAATAGACTGTTCTAAAAATTTTTAAACAAATCCCCAGCAAAATGATCAACCTATCTTTTTCACCTGTTTTATCAAGTATTTAATATGTCTAATAGTTAATTTATTAGCATTTATCAAATCTCTAAGACAGATCGCCTTTAAATGTCGACGACTTAGCCTTTTGTATTTATCTGTTTTATCAAATTTCTAGTGATTCCCGTCAAACGTGTTTAGAGTAACGTAACCCGTTTTCTAAGTAATTTAAACGATCAGTTGTCCAACGTGGCAACTAATCCCCGTTTCCTCAGACTTCGTAATTTCCGCAGTAAACTGGCGAACGAAAACTATTACATACCGCAGACCACGATTACGCTTAGTGCTTTTTACGCAATTAGTGAGATGACGTTTACATTGCTAAAACAGAATCTTCACGGTGTACCTATAAACCAGTTTTATTAGTCCAAGATTCCTGATCTCTAAGGCCCGAATTTATAGTCGTCTCTCAGTTCTCAGTTTTCAGTTCTCAATCTGTTCTGTTCAATGCAGTTCTCAACTGCTTGTTGTATATCTATGTGTTTTGATGATTGATGAAAATCGAGGATATATTTTAAATGTTTTACTTCATTATTGATGAAGATTTTTTTAAATTTCATTGAAGCGTCTACTGTTATTGTGGTAGGTTTACTCACTTCAATAAAGCAGTTGAGAACTGAGAACTGAGAAACGACTATAAATTCCAGCCTAAGTATACGAAACAAGAATATTCGTCATCTTCGAATAAAAGGACGTTAACTCCAAAGTTGCTTGAACTTCTACATTCCATCCTAACTTCCATATCCCTTGATAATCATTATTTATACATTGTATGTCAAATTTTTTTCTTATGCATTGTTTTTATTCACAATTTTATACTTAATTAATAGATTAATTTTTAATTTTATAATACTAATAAAACTAATTCTTGCTTATACCATATCTAGCAGTAAATAGATTTGTTTGATGCCTTTCGGCCTTAAAGTTTGTGTGTCAGTGTATATATATTTAAATATCATCTTTATTTTTCTTCCTTTTTTCTAGGACCTTCCGCATCCATTCTGTGCCATCCTATTCGTATTCCTCTCACTTCTTTGTTTTCTCTTTACATCTCTTTACATTCTCTTCCCATCTCAATTAAAGTCTTTGACTTCTCCTTACATAGTCTACAGACTCTTTCATTCTCCTTAATCCAATACTTATTATTCAATTCCTCATTCCGACATCTGAATCTTGCAATCCACTTTATACTATAATCGTTTCTATAAAGTTTTTATATTTTAAATCGTTATTTCTATACGAAGGCAAGTCTGATACATGTTACATGTAATAAATAGTCTCGTGATCACACTAGCATAAGATTCGAGTGCAATTTATAACTAAGTTCATTAAAAGTGAATGGGGAATATAGCAGGAATAATCGATTTTCGTCTGTGAACGAACGGTAAGACTTTTATTAGGGAATGAAAGTTCCTGGAAATGTCAAGTGCCGGTGACCTCATCTGAAATTTCGTCGACCACGCCTCTTCCATTGCACCTGCAATGGCTGCAACGTATGTACGTATGTATGTATATCGTCCTGTTTCCTATCGCGAGGGTATGAAACACGACTGGCCGCGTTACACGCGCGCTTATCATGTCTCTACGTACAGTAATTCCCGTAGTTTTTCTTTTGTTTTCGTACGACCAGTACGTACAGGCCAGTCCCTCTTACGTGAATGCCTGTGGAACGAGACTTTTACGAAAGTCCCCGACCGATCGAGGCTCGGACGAGAAAGTAAAGCGTGTATCGGGTTTGCCTTCGGGCCAGGTATCTGCTCCATTTCCCGGCCTCCTCTCGCACCGAGCCACGATGTCATCGCGCCGCGCCTGTAAAATATGCAAATAGCCTCCTTTTCCACGTTCACCCCTTTTTTCCCGAGGCCGAGGAAGCCGCCGATTTCCTACGTTAGTTCCCAGTTAGATAAATCTGGGAATCTTAACAGAAGCCACAACGATGGAGGAAGTAATTTACTGTGATCGTTCATTACCATTATTTAATGTTTCTCATGTTCGTCTCCCTGTAATTCTGCAAGTCCGAAAACTATGGACCCGTCTGGGAAACCGCGAGGTCTTTTCCTTCGTATTATTTGGTTACGGGTTCGAATGGTTAAACTTTATGGAAGCTAAACGCGTAGTCTGGAGAGAGTGGAATAGATAAAATTAATTAATATTTATATTTTAATAATAATGATAATAATAATAATAATAATCATGACAGCAACAGCAATTTTGTTGGGAGATCCAAGCCTGTATTTTGAACCGCTGTATCATCTTAATATCGTCTTTTTCCTTGAAACAATGCTCGAGAGATCGTTACTTGATGAGTTTCCTGGTTTCAATTAAGCTTTCGCTTTCCAACTGACTCTCATGCTAATTACGCTCGCGCGGTACCCACCGACTGTGTGCACGTATAATATAGAGACTTCATAAAGCTATAATCCTGAAAGTGCAAAATTAAAAGAACAAGCGGTGCAATTTTCACATTTTCCACGATGTTTCTCGCGATACAATTTTTTGGTAATTTGTGTGGTTTGCAAGTTAGTTTTTAAAGAAAGTTTCTGGTCGAGAGAGCCGGGGTCTGGAACGGTAGCGGGGCATGAAAACCAGAAAAACCAGGCGAGGACCAGTTCGAATGCTTGCTATTCAGTTTCCTTTCCTCGATTTTATTGTTCGTATAAATAGATTTTTTATGGTACTGCACTACAGGCTGGAATTCCTTCTTCTTGTAAGAAAGGACGTTCGCCAAACCTTTTGGTCGTGTTTGTCCCGTTTCGTCCTCTCTTCGCTTCAGCATTCGATTCGTAAGAAAAGAAATTGTGACATTTACTGTATTATAGTTAATCGTTTTCAATAGGAAACGATTGTCTACCATTAAAACAAGAAAATCATTAAAAGATATCAAAGTAGGATATATGTATAATCTATTAGTACATAAAAAGAACATGTTGCTTAATCTATTAATATTTTGCTAATATCTAAGTAAATGTTGTTTTTGTTATCTCGATGACGAATTATGTGTTGGTACGCTAGTTACGGACACCAGTCCTGCTGCAAGATTATGCTAATCGTTGACACCTTCTACTCTTCATACGTTGCCACCTACCATGTAGCAATATTTCCAATTATACATACATGGTACACTAACATCATGCTTGTATACAATTAAAACGTTGGTTTCATGTAAGTTGCTGCTTTTATGCAACAACTTGGAGATATCAGTAAAAAGCAAAGTGAACGTTTACAAGTTATAGACGGACAGGAAAGTGTACTAATCTGAATTAGCGATTGGAAAGAAATTATTTCTTATTTTATTCTTTATAAAAATTACGAAATGTAAATTGAGTCGATGATGAAGAAAGGTAGTTAACGTAAAATTGTGACCTTAATATCACGTTACCGTTGTTACACAAATGAGGACACTGACTAATAATAAAGCGTAACTCCGGTGTGACAGTTATGTTACAGAGCCTGAACAACGATGTTAAATCGTCGTTACATATAATTTAGTATTTCTTATGATGTACGTATAAGTGACCTCGATGATTGTTCGATGTTTCAGAATTACGACACGCTCAGTAAAGGGAAGAAGTCGTGGAGCGTGAGGCTGGGACTGTCGCGACAGAATCAGAGTACCGAGGATGTTGGCAAAGGGTGGGGAACGATAAGCGGCGGCAGCGTGATCTCGCGTCAAATGATCTACGGTGATCACCCATGGCTGTATGGTACGGTTCGGTCCTCGAGGCCTGGCCACGAGCCACGAGGCTTCATGACACCGCCGCCCCCGCCGCCGCCGCCGGGAGCACCGGTGCTGGTAGTATGTTCCTGTCCGGAATTTCTCAATGGAACCACCCAGAAATACGGAAACTGCCGCAAGTGCGGTGGTCACCGATTGGCTGGTGTACCTTTAGGAGGAACATGTCGGCTACCGCAGGTCTCTTCAAGATCCAGGCCCAGCCTCGCGGGTGAGTCACCTAATCAAAAATTCACTAATTTCAATGACACAAAGCAGCACTGGGCTCCAACTATAAACATTACATTTGATAAACTGTAAAAAATGTAGAAAATATGGGAAATATAAAAAGTATAGAAAATATAAAAAGCGAACGTACATTGCATTGCTTAAATAGATAAACTTTGATTGAGATCGATAAGGGAAACCGCGAACTGAGACCGAGTGCCACAAATCTTGTATTTCACATAAACGTTCGCTGTCTATCTATTAGTAACAAAGATTAGCGTTTATTAATGTTCACTAAGTAATCGTATTAGCAAGTTTCTCAAAAGACACACCTGTTGATTCTTAGCTTCACGAACGCAGTGTACGATTTTACTTGAAATAATCTAATACAAAGCATTATAATAAATACACTCGCTTATGAGTTTGTTTACGTTATGTTATATTTATTATATTTACTATAATTTCCTAAAAATTAATTGATGCTATATTTATTTTATCTACCATAATTTTCCAAAAATCAGTTCGTCTTACATTTGTTATAATGTTACGTCTGCTATAATTCGCTAAAAAATAGTTGATGCTATACATAGACATATATCTTCCATTGTTAAACGAAATGAAAACTGGATAGGAGTCCTGAGATCACCGATGGACGACCCGTACGACCAGATGCGTCGGAATCGGCTGGTGGAACCCAGAACCCGAGCCCGAAGCATCTCGCCGCATCGGCCATTACCTCAACGCGATTCCCGGAGCCTGAGCATCGCGAGGAATACCCGAAAGGGCTCGATCGAAGGTACCTCCTCGAGATCCGAATGGTTCGACAAAGAAACAGTCGCGAGCTACGAGGAAGGGACGCGCAAGCAACGAGCGAGCTTCACTGGTCCATTCAGCGACGAGTGGCTAGACGAGGTC